TCAGGCTCTGACCACCCCGGCCGCTCCCCCGCCTGGCCTGTTTGCTTTCCTTTTGCCCCTTCCTATGGATGATACACAATTCACAATCCATACAGTTGCCCTGTTAAAGTGCACGGTGTTCACGGAGCAACTATCAACACCATCCGTTCTGGGACACTTATACGGCCCAGAGAGAAACCCTGTCACCATTAGCAGTTGCTCCCCTTTTTTCCCCAAACCCAGGCAGCCGCTCATCTACGTTCTGTCTTCAGTTTACCTTTAAACATTTGCCTTGGTTTTCACCTTCTCACTCAACCCACAGTTACCACCACTGCCGCCTCTCTTAGAACACAGACCTGAGCTCTAACTGTGTGAACTACTGACTCCACTGTGCCCTCTTGCACACGGTCGCATGCCCTGGACCTGGCGTTAAGGTGCTGCTTCCTAGCCTGGCCTTTCTGCTGCTCACACTGCTGCCCCAGGGCTTCCAGGTGAAACTCAGTCTCCCTCGCCTGCTCATGCTCCCTTGTGCCTCCCCACACGTTGTTTTGTACCTCACCCATCCCCTCACATCACCTCACACCTCCTCCCAGTTGCCCACATTACCTCCCACCTCCCTATACCACCTCCCACCTGCCTTCATCACCTCTCCCCTGTCCGCACCACCTCATACTGCCTTACATCTCCCTACACCACTTCACACATGCCCACACCTCCTCACACCATCTCACACCACCTCATACCTCCCCACACCTGCCCACATCTCCTCATACCACTTCATACTTCTCCACACCTCTTCTCACCACCTCACACCTCCCCACACCTTCATCTTCCTCACACCACTGGCATATGTGTGTCTTGTTGTGAATTTCCCAAGATCAGGAACCAACTTTTCCTTATTTTCACAGTTCTTGAGCCTTAATTCAGTGCTCTGTGTCAGTTGACATGATGTGGGTGGACACCACTAATCTGAATGTGGGGATGATTACAATTTTTAGCAGGCCTCATTTGTTCCTTAGCTACTCATACTGTCTGCCTGCCTCCTCTCCAGTTTTGTGAGTCCAGTTTTGCGTTGGGCAGGCAGAGCTCACCCTGTCAGCAGCACTGTGAAACAGGAAAGAGTAATTAATCTTTGTCTGCCTCCCGCTCAGAAGCCATCTCCTCCTTCTAGCTGAGTTCCTGCGAGGCCAGTGGGAGCCAGCACAGACTGTAGGAGATGGGCAGCCTGATAAGAGGTCTGCAGCAGGCCAGAGAGCAGGAGTTACCCAGGAGGCTTAGCTCCAGCTCTGGGCACCAATCAGTCTTTAATGAAGTCTCTTGGAACTCAGAGTGGGGTGCAGTGGGGAGGAGAGTTTGGATTTATTTACTTATTTGAAAACATGGTCCAGACATTTACACACTTTAATTAATGATGCCAAAAACTACTGTAAATAAATATATATATGTGTACTGCAGTTTAAAATGCTAGGTATTGAAATACAGCTTTAAGGAGCTGCAGTTTAAAGATTAACTGGGCAGTTACAGGAGGAGTTCCGAAGCACAGCTCGGACAGGCCCAGTGGAATTCAAGACCTGTAATTGCCACAAATCACAGAGTCGATGGAGCTTTTACAGATCATGGTCAAGGCTTCTGTATGATTTTATGTGGTTATCACCTTTCCTTTCAGCTTAGAGATGAAATGATTTAATTAGTATCAGACAGTGCTTTTACCTGGTGATGGCATTTTCCCATGGACAAAGATCTGGACTTAATGATGAAAGGAATTCAAGTTTTGTGGGGTTTTCTCATCTTTTATCACACAAGTCACTCTATAGGGTGGGTCCATGGGTCTCTTTTAGGGTGGAATGCCTAACCCACGCACCCCTCATACTTGGAGCACTATTTGATTGCTGTCCATGTTTATAGGGGTGAAGGCTGAGCATCATTTTAAAGTTGCTGTTGCTTCTTGTTTGTGTGTGGTATTATTATTATTCTCATTATTACTAAGGCTGCAGTGAACATTCCATGCATACGTAGCACCATAGGCAGTGTTTCCAAACTCTGTTCCCTGGAACACTTACTAGGAAGACCTTAAGTGGCTAAGTAGGTTTGAAAAACTCCTGCCTAACATATGTTTCTCTTGAAGATTTACAATAGGTGTCAGGCTTTTAAAGTCGCTGGCAGTTTCTGCAGGAAAAAACAGTTTAGCAGCAGTTTCTAAATTTGTTTGATTACATGGCACTTATTCTAATATCATTTACTAATTTCCCAATTCTGTGAGAACTCCTGGAGTATCCCTGCCTCAGAATAAATTCTTACAAGTGGAACTGTTGGGACAAAGCTTATTATTGTTTATTAGGCTCAAATGCTGGACCAAATACTTGATGGTCATGAGTGGGAACCCTGTCCAGGAAGGGTGCTCTGGGCCCAAGCTGGTCTTAGAGGCTGTCCCACACCTGACTCTGTTCAGTCCACCACCATTGAATGTGGGCTGATGGAGCTGCAGGGGCCAGGGGCTGTGGGAGGTAAAGAAATGTCTCCTGTCTTATTTATAAAGGAGGATGGTGCGTAGGTGGGTGTTCTTGCAGTGGGGACCGTTGCTGCCTTTGCAGCTCTTGGCTAGGAATATTGTTCTCTGGGTCTCAGGCCCCAAAGACCCAGTACTGGCCGCGTGGTGGGAGTCAGTTGGGGACCTTATCAGCCTTGGCTTGATTTGGATCCACCTGTACTCTGTTGCATGCCCAGCAACTCATGTGCAGAATCAGGTGGTATATGGCCAAGGAGCAGAGAAGAGCCAATATGCCCACCATGAGGTCTTGCACATCAGCTGAGCCCAGAACCCTCCTGGTTTGCATCTCCTCTGTTGCTTCCTCTGTCTGAAGCCTACATGTCTGGTAGGGGTACAGGCCTGTTGAAGGCAGGACTAGTCATATTTTTCATTCCTGGTAGCACTTTGCACAGATCTGAGTCCATAGGACCGGGCCACCTGGTTGTGCTCCAGCTGGAGACGCCATCCCACAGAGTGCCCCATGGGTGGTGCCGGGGAGCCCTGCGCTGGGCCCTGGTGTGTAAGAGCAAACCGAGTGACCTGGACTGAAGGTACTTGCTGCTGAGTAAGGGCCCTGAAGTGTGGCAAAGTATTAAAACAAGATTCGTATATCTCTTGACAAGGTAAAATGCCTTAAAAAATACTGTAGTTTCTTCTCACTTTAACATCTGTGAAGAATTCTGTTATTAAAAGGAAGCTCCCCAAGAATTGCTTAACCTGAGAGCATTTTTCTCAGAGCACTCTTTAAGTGTCGCATGAATGGGTGTTATATTTTGTAACAGAACCTGGAGTCAATGTAATCCATTCCTATTCCTAAGAGAGGTTGTTTTGTAACATTTCTCCTATGGGCTGTGGAGAAATAACCAGAGTGATGTGACTTGCCTAAAATCCCATGGAGGTTGTCAGATAAAGCTAAACTCAGGACTGCTTTAAAGTAAGGCACTGTACTCAGGCCATCTTTGTGTTTTTACCAGATATTTGAATTTACTTATGATGTTCAACCCCTAATTCCTACCTCCTTCCAAAAAGGATTTAGAACAGAGACAAAACCCATAGCAGAAACAATTCTGCTGTAAGTTCAGAATACTCACCTGTGAAGCTCTGAAAGTGTGTTTTTAAAAAAGAGAGGTGGGCCAACAGACACATGAAAAGATGCTCCACATCACTTGTCATCAGAGGAATGAAAATTAAAACCACAATGAGATATCACCTCACACCAGTAAGGATGGCTGCCATCCAAAAGACAAACAACAACAAATGTTGGCGAGGCTGTGGAGAAAGGGGAACCCTCCTACACTGCTGGTGGGAATGTAAATTAGTTCAACCATTGTGGAAAGCAGTATGGAGGTTCCTCAGAATGCTCAAAATAGAAATACCATTTGACCCAGGAATTCCACTTCTAGGAATTTACCCTAAGAATGCAGCACTCCAGTTTGAAAAAGACAGATGCACCCCTATGTTTATTGCTGCACTATTTACAATAGCCAAGATATGGAAGCAACCTAAATGTCCATCAGTAGATGAATGGATAAAGAAGATGTGGTACATATACACAATGGAATATTACTCAGCCATAAGAAAAAAACAGATCCTACCATTTGCAACAACATGGATGGAGCTAGAGGGTATTATGCTCAGTGAAATAAGCCAGGCAGAGAAAGACAAGTACCAAATGATTTCACTTATATGTGGAGTATAAGAAAAAAGGAAAACTGAAAGAACAAAACAGTAGCAGAATCACAGAACCCAAGAATGGACTAACAGTTACCAAAGGGAAAGGGACTGGGGAGGATGGGTAGGAAGGGAGGGATAAGGGCAGAGAAAAAGAAAGAGGGCATTATGATTAGCATGTATAGTGTGGCGGGGGGGGGGCAGTGGTGCATGGGAGGGCTGTGCAACACAGAGAACACAAGTAGTGATTTTACAGCATCTTACTACGTTGATGGACAGTGACTGTGAAGGGGTAGGTGGAGGGGACTTGGTGAAGGGGGGAGCCTAGTAAACATAATGTCCTTCATGTAATTGTAGATTAATTATACCAAAAAAAAAGAGAGGTGGATTGCTTATTGTAAAATCTGTAGGAATACCTTGCCTCCCCTGCCCCTGTATATGGAGTCTGTGGGCTGGGGTCTGCCATCGGCCACACATTGGAAGTTTGAGGTGGAACGTGTGTGTATGTGTGTGTGGGGCTGTCTGTGTACTTGAGCTTCCCTCATCTCTGCTCTTAGCACTACACCCTGACTCTTGAGGTGTCATCTGACTATTGTGATTGCCTATTTCAGTGTGTTTTAAAAGAACGATTGCAAAGCTATTCAGGAATATCAGCATCTTACTATGCTTATGGACAGTGATGTAGTGGGGTATGTGGTGGGGACTTGATAGTGGGGGGAATCTAGTAACATAATGTTGCTCATGTAATTGGACATTAATGATACAAAAATAAAAAAATACAAAATAAAAAAGAATGTCAGGTTTGGCATTTCCCTCTCTTTAGGTCAGTATTTCTGAGGAGGCGGTCCTTGGACCAGCAGAAACAGATTCATGGGAAGGTTTTAAAAATGCAGATTCCTTGGTCCATCCCAGACCCGACAGGTTGTCATCTCTGAAGGTGAGGACCTGCCATTTCCATCTTTTACAAGTTCCCTGGTGATTCTTAAATATGTGTAAGTCAGAATTACCACCGAAGATCCTCAGAAGAATGTCTTTTAAAGGGTCCCAAAGGGAAAGGACTTCTCCTAGTGCCTGCGTGTCCTGGGACTTGGCCAATCAAGTTGCCATAGAGGTCCCCTGCTCTTGCTGTGCCTGTGTTAGTGGACTTAGTCAGGCACCTGGGACCCCCTGAAGGATTTTCTGGGGTCATTTTCAAATATCCCTCTTGTAAATGGATTTCTCACTGCTTCCTTAGACAACTCCTGTCCTCCCACAGGTGCCAGAGCCACTGTCCCCTCTTCCCCTCCCTGCAGAGCTATACTCAGACCCCCCCACCTTGTTTCCCCTTTGTCATTCCTACAACTCAGGGGAGTTCACCTGGCATGTTTGTCCTCTTCAGAATCTGCAGAGGCTGAGCAGGTCCTGAGAGTAGAGCCAAGTGAGAAGAGGCCGAGAAGAAGGGCAAGCATGCATGGCCAGGGCTCGGGGGAGAGGCAGAGGTGGGAGGGGATGTCAGAGTGGTGGGTTTCCCAAAGACTCATGGCAGCTCGTAGGGCCACCATGAAAGGCTGAGGCCAGCAGCATATTCAAGTCATCTGATACTCTCCATCCCTATTAAGATCATCTGTGAAAAACTATCCTCACTTCTGCAGTCCTCCATACCCTTCCTTCAGTGCTACTGTCACTCCCCGAACACCAGGGATCCTATGCAAAGCTATGCACTCCTGTACTGCTGCCCCCACCCTCCCAACCAGGCCTTGACACCCTGTGGTCCTCCTGACTGCCCCTGAAGCTCCAGTGCACACACTGTGGACACAGCAGCCGTGTTGCTTGGGGCTAGAGCTCCATCTGACCCCTCTATTCTGTCTCTGTGCCCTCTCCAAGGCTCTGCCAGGCAAGCCACTGTGCCCCGCATGGACACCTTGGCAGTCTGGCAGGCTGCTAGAGACCTGGAGGGACGCCAACATGCAGCATTTCTCCTGTGGATGACGATCGACTTTGATACATCCATCCTCCGGGGACGTTTTCAGTGTGCTGCGAAGTTTGAGGCCTGGGTAGATGGACACTTACATTCAATGTTAATTTGGTGCCAGTGAAAATTCTCATAGAGTGTGAGGGTGGGCTGTTTATCCCAAGGGCAGTACGGGCCCAAATACAAATCTTAATATAAGAGTCTTGGCAGCGGTAGAACAGTAATACTTTTGCTTTTTTTTTTTTAAAACCATTTTAACCATTTTAAGATACCTTTACTTTTGAAAATGTATGCATAGCTTAAAAAGTCTTGAGCTTAACAAATTTCCTTGCAAAGAAGACATCTCAGTTTCAGAAACTGCACTGCTACCTGGGCATAGAGGGAAAGGGCAATTCCAAGCAATGATGACTGTGTTGGTGTCATTGTATTGTATCCCCAACCTGCCATGTTTTTCTGTCATTGCAGGTGATTTTCAAAGCCAAGTCAAAGTATTCTCCAGAATTACTCAAATATCGGTAAGTATCCAGGGCATTTTTCTCTGCCATAACAGGTGGAAAGCTCATAGAGTATCCGTTTCTCTAGGTGGGGTTTGCACACATCACTCCTCTGTGAGCAGCCCCCAAACAGTCCTGCTGTGTTGGACTGCAAGTGTCATATCCATTGGCTGTAGCAGGCACTGAACCCCGACTTATAGGCCTTGCAGCATATTTACCTTGTTTAGAGACAAGAGCCAGGCATCTTTCACAACCAGGGAGAAAGCGGAGGGGAGAGAAGTGATGCATGCTGCATCGAAACCTTTCAGTGTCAATATGTGAACTAAGGGCCTCAGCAGAAGGAAGAAGGTTCCCCGAAAATGCCAGCTCATGGCCAGGTGTCCCTGCCACCCCCTAGGTACCTGTGAAGCTGTGGGAGAGCCTTGTCCCTCTGGGGCTTGGCCCTCCACCTGCTGGCCTGACCATCTCATCTGTAGCTGCTGACTGCTGGCAGGGGTTTTCTGGAACACCACAGTCCATTGTGTAGTTACTGTGACTCATTACACAGCTGCTTATTTGCATCTCCATCCACATCCAGCAAATGTGTTTTTGGCCATGGGGTATTCAGTCAGGCACCTGAGGCAGAAATGTAGTCTGTGTCCTTGAGAGGTACATGCTCTGTAAAGATGTCCTGAACCATACAAACACTTGCAGAATCAGGCCAAATAGCATGCTTGCAGGAGGTCTGTGCTGCTGCCTGTGGACTGTGAGAGTCCCAGGTACTTTGTGGACGTGAATTCTGTGCTGGGCTGCACAGGAAAGCCTCATAGTCTGGAAGGGAAGGCCTGAAATGGCATGCTGAATTTATGGGAAGAGGTGGATATGCATGTTTTTCTTGTGGAGAGGGTTCATAAATTTCCCCAAATTTTCAGAGAGGTCTGTGACTTTACAGCAGCAGAGCCAGTGGCTTTCTGCATGGTCAGACTTGGCCAGAAGAGGCAGGAGACAAGGTGAACAGAATGCATGAGGCAGGTGTTCTGATGTTGCTGCCCAGGAGACTTCCACTGCCAGGGGAAAAGCAAATTTGGCCAATCAATCTTCTTGAATCAAAATGAAAATTTAATTATTTTGTTACTTAAAAAATATGTAAAAATGTGTACATATCTTCTTTAAATACACATAATCAAATTTATGAAGAGTTTTTATTTGGAATTCTGTAAGTGTAATTTTTTAGAGATATAATTGATATAATGTTATGTTAATTTCAGGTGTACAACAACACAATTTGATAATTTGTGTATGTTGTCAGAAAAACTTTTTTCTTGTGATGAGAACTTAGAAGATCTTGAAAGTGTATGTTTTATCTGTCTTTATATATATATTTACACTTAATAAATATAATTGTATATAAGTACATGTTTATATCCCCAATTTTATACCCAAGGAAACTGAAATTCAGAAAGTATGTAACATTTAGTTTTAATGTATCTGCTCTCTCTGTTCACTACAAATGATGTTGGTCCTCAGGAAGACAGTTTAAAGAAGCAAGTCTGGGCAGACCATTCCCTCCCCTCTTTGCTAACACAATAGCTAGCTAGCCTTTCCTCTGCATGCATAGTCTCTACCCTCCATCCCCTGCAGATCAGCTGGGGGCCAGGGCTACGGAGCCAAGAATGAGACTGGAGTGGGTGAGGAATATTCTGATTGTATCATGGAGCCGATCTTCCCTTGAAAATGGTTGGCTGAGGCTGGGGAAATGAGGTGTCTTCTAGGCGTGAAATATGATAGCGATGGTCAGAAAGGAAGACAGTTTTAAACGTTAACCTCTTGGCACTTGGAGTGAGGTCTGTCAGGTGAGAAGATACGTGCGTGGGGCGGTATCTGACCCTTGAACCAAAGTACCAATAGCAAGATGGGCTGTTTTTATTGGGAGGGGATTTGCAGAGATGAAGAGAGAAGGGTAGAAATAAAATGGGATGAGAAAAAGTGCAAGTTTCTTGAAGCTATAGGGGGTTATTCCAGTGGGTTGACTCAGATCTAATAATTTAGTTACCAAGTGTAAAGAAATCCTTGGAGTTATTCGTGTTTGGGGAAATCTTCAGTGCCCTTTATTTAATTCCCCATTTTTCATAAGCCAGATGCCACTGTAGACATTTCAGGCCATGGTTTATCCCTTGAGATGCTTTGATATGTTCCCTTCTAGAGAGACTGGCTTTTCTCACTTAATCAAAACTCATTAGTCTAGAACTTGTTGAAACTTCCCATCTCAGGCTACACCTGTAGCAGTTGAAGATAATTTTGGGGAACAAACATTGTTCCCACAGGAACACGTTCCTTTGTGATATGGTCTCTTCTGCCCCCTCCTTTAAATCTCTCTCCACACCTCCAAATCTCTCTGTTTCTTCCACAGCTGCAGGCAAAGGGAGGAGAGCTAAATTTTGCAAGCTACTTTTTATTACAAGTTATGTAAGCTCATTAGAAAAAAGTATAAAATAGGAAAAGAGAGAATTTGTGAATATAGACATGTGGAAAGAAAGAAACCCAATCCACTGAACTGGCCCTTACCCCACCTCTGTAAATCCCCTCCAACTCTCAGGAAATACAATGCTGTATTTAGTTCCTTGTAGGTTTTCACACACATTTTGCAAGGTGGAGTTGTTGTTTTACTGCTTTTGCCTTCTGACTTTTTATCTTAATGTTAGGTGATAAGTACTTTTCCCATATTGTTTCACATCTCACAACCCAGCTTCTTTCTTTAAGACAATAAGACAGTAATGGTCTTTGGTTTAGCAAGTGGTCCTGTATGCCCGGAGAGTAGGATTTTATAGAAACCAAGGAGCAGGAAGATTTTAGGCAGAAAGATCAGCTTGTGTGAAGACAGGGAGGTGGGGACACCTGGATGGGCTTGAGGGCAACGAGTAGATGGGCTCAATCCTTGATTGACTGGCGGTGCAGCAGATACAGGGAGCACAGGCAGCTTTAGGGTGGGAGTGAATCAGGACCCTGTCAGTTTAGTTCTGAGCCGAAGGTGTAAGGCAGTGTGGTGGTGAGGATGCGGAAGGGGGCACAGATAGGAGAGCTGGTTTATAAAGAATGTGCTGAACTTGGCAACTGATTAAATGGGGGTGGAATCAAAGATCTTCACAGCTTAGAAGGCTATTAAAAACTCTGGTGCCTTTAACAGAAATGGAAATTTATGAAGTGCTGGAGGAGGGACATCAGGAATTGAGCTTGGATGTGGTCTGAGATGACTGTCTTGACAGCAGGCAGTTGGGAATGTGAGTCCAGACATGGGACAGGCAGTGGCTCTGGACAAGCTCTCGGTCGTACAGGAGCTATCATTGAAGCTCTGGGGGTGAACATATTCTCAAGGAAGAGGATATATAGAGAGCCAAGGATGCCGTCACTTGGGGGAAGAAGAGGGAGAGGAACAGAGGCTCCCCAGGGACAGGAAAACGAGGCAGGTGTGACAAGGAGAGTTCAGTCTTTGGGCTCAGGGAAGAGGTCGTGGGCCATCAGGGGAGTCCCTGTGGAGGAGAGAAGGAAGGGAGCAGGTGAGGCTTTTTCTAGAAATTGCTGTAGATGGAAGGGGAAGCTACAGTGGGGGCTTGAGGCTCTGGGGGGTGAGGACAGAGCAGACACAAGACAAGAAGGCACAGGATTCACTGAGTGTCCTGGCAGCTCTGAGGCAGGTAGGAGTCGGTGTCTCCCTTACAGATGAGGATGTGGTAGCCGAGCATGGCCGGGAAGGAGGTGGCCTGCTGGCCACTGTATGAAAATTCCAGCTGGAAGGGGCAGCAGAGGCCATGCTAGCATCTGACAGGGTGGCGAGTCGTAGAAAGTGTGTGTGCACCAGAAAGGCTCCAGGAACAATGGGGCTGATTCCAGAGGGCTCTGGATGTTCCCAGCCTGTGTTCTTCACAGAAGCAGAGCAGACAATAATAAAATGATATTTTTAAAAAATGGGGCTTTCAAGGAACCAGAATGTAGACTTCTGGTGACTCCCAAATGATCCTGCTTTTGTCTCTCCTTCCATGCTGATTGCCCCCAGCACTGTGAGAACATGGTGAAGAAAGATAAATGCCTTAGTAATTTACCACGAGCCAAATACTGTACAGTACTCACTGTCCCACATGCATTCTGCATGGCCCCCCCAACAGCCCTGCAAGTCAGGTATAGAACTCCTGCTGTGCCTTGTACAGAGGAGGAAGCTGCAGCTTGGCCAGGAGAGGTACCTGGCCCAAGGTCACAGGCACTCTTCCTTTGCTACAATGTGGGCTCTGAAAATGATGTTGCCAACGATACTAAATTATTAATTGCAAGACATAAAATCCCATTCAGATTAGCTTGGATGAGTGGGGGTTTATGGTCTTGACACCAGGGAAGTAACACTGCAGCTGCACCTTGTCCGACTCCCATCTCCTCCCCCATCATGCGGGTGCCTGTCAGCTACTTGCTTTCTGAAGCTGGGCTAGAATCCAGGTTTCCGTGTTCCCACCTGTGATGTCTTTTGAAGATGCTGACATCACTCTCAGCTTCAAAGCAACTTTTAGTTGGCAGCTTTCTGCTTTTGGATTTACAGATGTATGCAACTTAAACCTATTTTTTAGCCAGCCTGTTCCCTATATACATGTCTACTGGATGATGTCCACCTGCAGTCAGTGTGGCATGGACAGTCCCGACGAGAATCTGAGGCTGCTGATTTCAGTTGTTATAAGTCTTTCTATAGACCTTGCGCAGGAAGGTCACTTAGGAAGTGTGCAGCATGGGGAAACTACAAGTTAGAAATGGCCCGTGATATATAGGTAGTTTGTGTCCATGCAGCCTTGGGCCAGGCCCTGGGCCGGGCAAGGACTGTTCCAGGTAGAAGCGAGTACTGCCCAGACTCCTACTGCCTCAGTGCCTTTTTTGGGGGTAAACATGCTCACAATCCTTAAAAACAACTTTTTTAAGTCTGTTTCAGATGATGTCACTAAGGCTCAAAAGGATTGATTTTGCCCAAGGTCACAGGTACAAAATTGTTCTGTTCTCACCAAAAACTCAGCTCTGCCTCCGAGCCCACGCTCTTTGCTGCCAGTGTGTCCTCGAGAGTAGCGAGCATTTGGTGGGAGCTGCAGCCAGTATGCACTCGTCTGGGTCCTCACCAGCCCCCAGTCAGGGAAGGTAAGGCTCACAGGGTGGAGTCTTCCTAGGGGCACAGTTTGTAGTTAATTTGTCTTTCTAATCCAGAATCTTCAGTGTTTAACTTTGGTGTGTTCTGCGTCTAGCAGTTAATCCCAGAATATCACAGTTTACTCTGGGTTGACCTGAACGTACACCAACATGCAGGAAATGGTGCTTTAAATTTCACCCTGGTCCTTTCCAGGTTACCCCTCCACCTGGCCTCGCTCTCCGTCAGTCTCATTTTCCTGCTGGTGAATCTCACCTGCGCGGTGTTGGTGAAGACAGGAGATTGGGAGAGGAGGGCTATCGTCTCCGTGCGAGTGGCCATCAATGACACACTCTTTGTGCTGTGTGCCATCTCCCTTTCCATCTGTCTCTACAAAATCTCTAAGATGTCCTTAGCCAACATTTACTTGGAGTCTAAGGTAAGGTGGAAACATGGCCAAGATCCTTCCATTAAACATGTTCTAAAAAGTGTCCTGGTTTGCAAACAGAACTCAATAAATACCCTTCACCCCTGACCTCCTGCAAATGATTAACCATCCTGTGGTTGCTGAAACCAAGGTGTGGAGTTCACTGAACTTTGTATGCAGGAAGAGTTCCATCCCAGGAGCCTCAGAGGGTATTGGAGTGTGCAGAATTACTGGCAGAGTTAGGTCTCTGGTTTAGCCAACCTTTTACCCTTTTACAGGATTAGTGGGGTTGATTGTGCTAATAATGTTAATAGAAGCACACATCTGTGCCTCTGTTCCAGGCATGTCATAAGCACTCTGTATGTATAAATAAATGGAATCCTCCCAGTTCTAGGGAGTAGGTATTTCCCCCACTTTGCAGATGAGGAAGCCATGGTGCAGAGGTCGGAAGCCTGCCCAGGCTATGCAACTTGCAGAGCCAAGATGTGGACTTGGTCTGACTGTGGGGCCTGTCCTCCTTCCCGCCTCTCATGCTGCAGTTCAGACTTGGTCCCAGATTGTCCGTGCCATGAGAGGGTTCCCTTGGACAGTGGGCCCTGCCCTGGAGTTCAGGATAACATTCCCATCATGTCAGTTGTTCAGAGGTGGAGCCCAACATGGCATGAGAAGAAAGCTCCTGCCTGGCCTCTTTTTGGGGGCTGTGCCTACCCTATTGAATCTCTGTCTTTTCCTCTCCTTTCATGTTATAAAGAAGTGCAGATATGCTGCATTGTGCTGTGGTGCCCCAGTGCCCCGGGTTAGCTTGACCTCAGATCTCCTGTCAGTGAGAAGCTGGTGACCTGTGGAGGTCAGGTAGCAGGTGCCCTGGGCTCTCACTGGCCAAGGGACCCCAGCCCCACCAGGCACATTGCCTCTCTGGGCCTTGACTGTCTCACTTGCAAACAGCTTATTCCTGGAGGTCCTCTGCTTGTGAACACAGAGACTTTATGGCCTGTGAACACCCACCGTCTGTCTGCTTTGCCAGGTGGCCCATCGGGCAGTCAGGTCATACGGGGTAGCTCCGTCTCCCATAGAGGCATGTGTTTAGTCATGATGAGATTAACATATGTGCTCTGTCTTAAAAATACAAAACTTGGCCAGGCATCCTGTGATTTGGCTGCTCTTGCTAAATCCCGAAAGTTGGTGTGGCAGAGTAGTTTTTTCACTTATAAATTTTGATGACTTCTAGACTTATTTTACCTTAACTTCCTCTGTTATTTATATTGCCTCCCATATAATGGCTTTCCAAGGCTTTTAAAAACAGAATTGTAGTTTTAACAGGAGGTATTAATTTTAGATTGTCATGTGCCATTTGGATTACCCCTGTGGCAAGCAAGCTAAAGAATTACTATTGGCAAAATAAAATAATACCTTGGATTTAGTGTCTTCAAAAATAAATTTCAGTTTTTTGGTTATGTTCACTGTTTCTAGCTAGGAGTCCTTAACTGGCTTTGGAAATTGGTAGCTTATAAATTAGGGCACAAATCACTGGTTTCCACAAAATTCCACACCTTGGGTCACATTGGGCCTCCAGTGCTCCCAGCCTGGAAGATTCTGGGTTTTGAGAAAGGGCTCTCTGCCCTGAGCCCCCGTCAGCCACATAGCTCTCTCCCAGCCACCATCCCTCTGAGATTGTCGCTAAGCCAGCTGGGGATTGGGCTCAAAGGCAAGAGGGTTCTCTTGGAGCTGAGCAATGTGGCACTGAAAGATTTAATAGAATAAGCATTGACTTTCTTGTTTTTTACTCCCTAGCCTTAGGCAAATAACCCCTATTTTACATCTCCAAACCATGTCCCAGGTTTTGAAGTGTCTGTATGAAGATAATTTGAAAGTTCAGGAAGGGATGGGAATGAGGTGGGTTTAAGAAGGTTGGGTTTAACGTCTGAGGGTGGAGAGTTCTGACAGGAGTCAGGGGGAGTCTGCGGGGCCTGAGATCCAGAGCCCCTACCAGGTGTGAACAGAGGCCAAATTCTGGGAGGAGGCCCATGTCCTGGACCTAGAATGGTTGCATCCCTTACGGCTCCTGTTTTTCCAGGGTTCCTCCGTGTGCCAAGTGACTGCCATTGGGGTGACTGTCATTCTGCTTTACACCTCCCGAGCCTGCTACAACCTGTTCATCCTGTCATTTTCTCAGAGCAAGAACGTCCATTCCTTCGATTACGACTGGTACAATGTATCAGACCAGGTCAGTCGGTGCTGATGAGGTGTCACCTGAACAGTGACTCTGCAGCATCCCGTGTGGCAGAGAGGTATATACCCCTGCTTCTGATGCTCAATAGCTGGGTGGCCTTGAGAGTCACTTACCATGTGGTATCTGCATTCTCATCTATAAAATGGGATCATAGTACCTGCCTTATTCCAGCTCACATGTCTTTTGAGAAGATTAGGGTATATATATATATATATAATATATATATTTACACACACACACACACACATATATATATATATATTATGTATATACACACATATACTTCTTCATACTTTCCTGGGGCTCATGGGAAACATTTCTTAAATTTTTTTAAGTGCTTCCATATAAATATAAAATGGTCTTATTTAAAGGGTTGAACTTGCACAGGTAAAAACAAATTGTATTCAGGTTTCAAAAAATACATAAAACCATGACTTCTTAAAATAGAGCACATAAACTAATAGCATTTGCAGAAGTATCAACAAAAGTGACTGACGGTATTAAGGTGTTTGTAAAAGCTCATTTTACCTCTGGGATCAGTATGATACTCTTTTTTAGTGTATTCTAGAAATTCACAAATCAAATTATTAAGCAAATGAACAAAGGGAGTGAAATATCATCTGGCAACCATGTTCACAAAAGCTCAAAATAAGAAAGAGTGAGAATGAGTAAGGATTCTCTTGTTTGAAAGAGATGAATTCCTTGTCTTGAGACCTGGACAAAGTGCTGGGGATACAAAAATGGGTACTCACTCCCTGCCTGTAGGAGTCCATATCCACTGAGGAAAAGAGACACACCAAGAAGCCATTACAATAAAGAAATAGAACTTCTGTGATAGGAGTCGATTGGATTGAATTGTAAAAACTCTAACTTTTCTTAGAAAAATACTGGATACCTATCTATATACAAATCCACCTGTAAAATCCCAACAGTGCTCAAACCTGGACTGAATTAAGACTCTGGCAGAAAGAATAAAATGACCATGATACATCAAACCTGTGAGGACAAATGAAGTACAGAAGAGCACCTGGAAGGTAGTATAATTAGAAAGGGTTAAGACAACAGCGGTAACCATCATTAGTCCTAATGCAAACCAGCACCTCAAATATAGGATGGGACAGAATTGGGGAAGACATTGGTAAGGATGTTTTTTGAGGAAATCAAATATATAAAAGCCTGAACTTTAAAACAATGATAAATTAGAAATGTAACACACAGAAGATTTTATTATACACATAAAATTTACCATTCCGACCATTTCTAAGTGTGAAGTTCCAGTGTCATTAAGTACATTCACAGTGTGCAGCCTTCACCACCATCCATCTCCGGGACTTTTTCATCTTCCCAAACTAAAACTCTGTCCCCACTAAAGAACAGAGATTGGTTTCAACAAAATAATTATTTCAATTTTTCCTTCCATTTTAAGAGCTCATATTTATCATGAGTTTAAAGTATGATCATAGTTTTAGAATTCTTTTGCTTTTAGGGGTATTTTATTATGGATATATATCAAAACTCTCTGTTTCAACCAAAATAATCTAGGAGCAAGCAAAACAAATGGACCTAAGTTGCATGTGTTAATTTGTGTAGAATGGAAAAAGAACTGTATTATTGAGACATATCATAGGTGGAATAGGAGATGTAAATTGTGAGAGCAATCTTTTCAAAGAGTAGCGTGATTAGCTTTGGTTACTGCCCTTTAAATGCAATGTAATAGAGAAGACAAAAGGATTAAGTTGAAGTGATTGGCCCTTGATGGCTTGACTTGGGTGCTTTGTGTGTGAGGAAGTTATGTTTACTCAACCCTATCAAAAAGGTTGTCCTATTGAAGAAGGACAATAAGCCATAATGGGCCCTACAGGGACAGGGACAGGGAACACTCTACATGATGTCTGTTTGACCATCTCAGTGGGCCAGAACCCAAACATCCTGGACATGTTTGCTGAGAATTTTTTTTCTTAGTCTGGCCTGCAACAAGCTTTAAAGGGTAAAGAGTAGAATATGATTCATGTAAAGAAAAGTTTAAAAATTGACCTGTTTCTCTTAGGATAAAACTAAGGCTAACAGTAATATGCTGCTCTCAAAAATATGGAGCGCAACATAACATTGTCATTATTCAGTTGTTGAAGAGAAGAAAATCAGTTTAAAGTCATTATTCAGTTGTTGAAGAGAAGAAAATCAGTTTAAATTTGAGAGATAATTTGGGCATATGGGAAATTGTGGAAGGTGAAGTAAAAAAAACATCAGAGCTTTCTGCCTTTGAATATTTTGAGGATGGTAATTTATCTATCTTGTTTGGTTTAAATAACTCCGCACCTGAGGTCTGGACCGTTAGTATTATCTGGCTTCAGCATGCACATTTTAGGGGAGGCGAATTGTATCACATTAGAATTAGTCTCAGTTCACATAAGAAAGAAATCAGATTTATTTCCTCTGCGCTCTAATGACTCCATTTTGTCCCTCTTTTCAATAGGCCGATTTGAAGAACCAGCTGGGAGACGCCGGATATGTGGTGTTTGGAGTGGTCCTTTTTGTGTGGGAGCTCTTACCAACCACCTTAGTAGTTTACTTCTTCCGAGTGAGAAATTCTACCAAGGACCTTGTGAGTAAACCATTTTATATTTGCAGAAAATATCTCCTAATTCTAATCATAAACACAGCTAGAACTTTTTCTTAGATTTTCAGTAGAGAGCCTGTTCCATCCTATTATTATATAGAGTCCCTTGTTTACTTACTGAGACTTGCTTTTCCCCTAATTCTTTTTTGAGGGAAATTTATTTTTCAGTTTAGCTTTGTTTTACTAAAGAAATGAAAGTAAGTTGCATCTCAACGCCTGGATAGAGATTAACCATTTTCCTTAATGCACCAATAGGCTCACTAGTATTTGAGCTTTGACTTGATGTGAACCAAATACACTGGCAAAGGAAAATAATAGAAAATGGTAATTCAGTTCTTTACCCTTGTATTATGCTGGATGGCGATCAGGAAATGGGGTGCTAGGGAAATAAAAACATTGTGAAAATGCTAAATACCTCCCCTAGTTTGGTCACATTTCTGTTCAACCATCTTTATATAAATGTCTTTGAGGGCAGGACAGAAACTGCAAAACAGTAGACTGAGGAAGCCTCTGTGAGCTTTGATCCATAAATTATTCCATGTACACTAACTAGCGGTAGAATTTTGAATCACTGATCTATGAAACCCATAGAAGAGTAGAGTGGTTTTTGGCCAATATGAGAAAAGTGTGGGTGGTAAGGAATGTATAGATACAGTAATCAACCTGTTGTGTTTTGTTTGTTTTCTTATTCATCTCTGGGAAGTCACTAATGAGTCAGGAATAGGAAAGAAAAAAGTAAGACTGCAGGGCAGCAGGTGGTAAGAGAAGCACAGACTGATCGGACTCTTGCAGAGACAATGGAAAGGAGCAATGTTGTCTAGATCTCAGGAGCAGTTTCCTCCCCTTTATTACCTTCAGAACAGTGGTTCTGCAATTTGTCTGACCTTTACTTGCAGTGGGAAGACTTGGAAGCTTCTGTAAAGTCAAACCCTATTTATCTCCTCATCACTGGCAAAGAAACATGAGAAGTAGGCAGAGGATTCTGCCTACTTTTCATTGCCTTGTTTTTTATTCCCTCTTTTGAAGAAAGAAAGCTCAAGTTTTCTGGGAACCTTGTTTGACTAAGGGATAAGTGAGGGGAGTCTTAAGCAAAAATCTCAGTGCCTAGTGAGGCTACATGGAGGCTTTCCCTTTGCCTTTTCATCACTTCTGTTTTCATCATCTAGTGTTTCAGAGGCTTAGGAACTATACTCCCTAAACCCATGGCAGTCTAAGGAGTGAAAGGATAATGTGATGTTGTTAAAAGTACTAGTTTATTAAATGAATACAGAATAATATTGGTAGCCTAATCTGTACTCTCAGATCTCATTATCCAGGGAAACATGTCATCCTTAACATCTCTATATGTATATAGAGTTACTTGGCTATTGTGTTTGAATATATCTACTGTTTAGGATATTACTTAGAGTGTGGTTCTCAAACTGGTCTCAGAACACATCACACTGATAAATTATTTTTTGTTTTGTATTAATTTTTAAATTTGTAATTTTTGTTGAAGTAGCATTGCCATTGTAATAGTTTCAGGTGTATGATATGATTTGACAATTTTATACATTTGTTCATCATGGTAAGTATAGTTACCATCACCATACAAACTTATTACAATATTATTGACTATATTCCCTATACTGTACTTTCATCCATGTGACTTATTATTATAATTGGAAATTTGTATCTCTTAAGTCTCTTCACCTATTTTGCCCATCCTCCCATTCCTCTTCCCTCTGGCAACCACCAGACTGTTCTCTGTATTTGGATGTGTTAACTTTATAGATTCCATATGTAAGTGAAATCATAAGGTATTTGCCTCTGGTTTATTTCACTTAGCATAATACCCTCTAGGTCCATCCATGGTGTCTCAAATGGCAGGTCTCACTATTTTTTAGGGCAGAGTAATATTCCATTGTATATAAACATCTTTATTCATTCAATTATTGATGGACACTTAGGTTGCTTCCTGTATCTTGGCAATTATAAATAATGCTGCAATAAACATAAGGATGCATGTATCTTTTTGTATTAGTATTTTGTTTACATTGGGTAGATACCCAAAAGTGGAGTTACTGGATCATATGGTAGTTCTGTTTTTAATTTTTGAGAAGCCTCCATACTGCTTTCCATAGTGACTACATCAGTTTACATTCCTACCTACAGTGTATGTTCCCTTCCTTCATATCCTTGCAAACACTTGTTACTTCTTGTTTTGATACTAGCCATTCTGACCAGTGTGAGGTGATACTTCATTGTGCTTTTAATTTGTATTTCCTTGATGATTCATGATGTTGAGCATCTTTTCATGTGTCCATTGGCTACCTGTATGTCTTCTTTGGAAAAATGTCTATTCAATTCCTTTGCCCTTTTTAATCAGATTATTAATTTGTTTGGTGTTATGAGTTCTTTGCATATTTTGGATATTAACCCCTTATCAGACATATAATTTGTGAATATATTCTCCCATTCAGTAGGTTGCCTTTTCATTATGTTGAGGGTTTCCTTCACTATGCAGAAGCTTTTAGTTTAATATAGTCCCATGAACTTTGCTTTTGTTTCCTTTGCCTGAGGAGACATATCCAGGAAAAAAAGCTGCTAAGGCTAATGCCCAAGAGTTTACTGCTTGTGTTTTCTTTTAGGAATTTTACGTTTCAGGTCTTACATTTAGGTCTTTAATCCATTTTGAGTTTATTTTTGTGTATGGTTTAAGAAAGTAATCCAGTTTCTTTCTTTTCCATGTAACTGTCCAGTTTTCCCAACATCATTTATTGAAGAGGCTTTGTATCTTTTCTCCTTTGTATATTCTTGCCTCCTTTGTCATAGGTTAATTGACATATATAAGCAAAGGTTTATTTCTGAGCTCTCCATTCTGTTCCATTGATCTATGTGTCTATTTTTGCCAGTACTCTGTTTCGATTACTATAGCTTTATAGTATAGTTTGAAATCAGGAAGCATGATACCTCCAGTTTTGTTCTTGTTTCTTAAGATTGTTTTGGCTATTTGGGGTCTTTCGTGGTTCCATATAAATTTTAGGATTATTTGTTCTAGTTCTTTGAAGAATGTCATTGGTATTTTCTTAGGGATTGCATTGAATCTGTAGATTGCTTTGGGTAATGTTACCATTTTAACAATATTAATTCTTCCTATCCATGAGCATGAATTTTATGTTGTTTTCAATGTCTTTCATCAATGAAAGTACAGGTCTTTCACCTTCTTGGCTAGATTTATTCCTAGGTATTTTATTCTTTTTGGTGTAATAGCAATTCAGATTGTATTCTTAATTTCTCTTTCTGCTAGATAGAAATGCAATTGACTTCTGTATGTTGATTTTGTATCTTCCAGCTTTACTGAATTCATTTATTAGTTCTAATAGTTTTTCGGTGGAGTTAGGATTTTCTATTTATAGTATCATGTCATCTGAAAATAGTGGCAATTTTACTTCTTTACTAATCTGGATGCCTTTTCTTTCTTTTTCTTATGTGATTGCTGTGCCTAGGACTTCCAGCACTAAGTTGAAGAAAAGTGGTGAGAGTGGGCATCCTTGTCTTGTTCCTGAACTTATAGGAAAAGCTTTTAGCTTTTCACCACTAAGTGTGATGTTAGTTGTGGTTTGTCATATACAGCCTTTATTATGTTGAGGTATGTTCCCTCTATACCCTCTTTGTGGAGATTTTTATCATGAATGGATGTTGAATTTTGTCAAATGTTTTTTCTGCATCTATTGAGATGACTATATGGTCTTTTTCCTTCCTTTTGTTAATGTGGTGTATCACATTGATTTGCAGATGTTGAGCCATCCTTGCATCCCTGGCATAAATCCCACTTGATCGTGATGAGTGATCCTTTTAATGTATTTTTGAATTTGGTTTGCTAATATTTTATTGAGGGTTTTTATATCTTGTATATCAATGATACTGGTCTCTAATATTTTTTGGTAATGTCTTTGATTTTGGTATCAGGATAATGCTGGCCTCATCTGTGAATTTAGAAGCATTCCTTCCTCCTCTAATTTTTGAAATAGTTTGAGAAGGGTAAGTATTGTCTTCAAATGTTTGGTAGTCCATAGTATAGGGACTAAAGTCATATAATCCTGGACTTTTCTTTGTTGGGAGTTTTTTGATTACTGACTCAATTGTGTTACTAGCAATTGGTCTTTACAGATTTTCTATTCCTGATTAAGTCTTGGAAGACTGTATGTTTCTAGGAATTTATCTATTTCTTCCAGGCTGTTCAATTTTTTTGCACATAATTTTTCACAGAATTTTCTTATAATACTTTATATTTCTGTGGTTTGGTTTGAATTTCTCTTTCATTTGTGATTTATTTGAGTGTTCTTTTTAATCTTGATGAATCTGGCTAAAGGTTTATTAATTTTTTTTTCAAGGAACCTGCCTTTAGCTTCATTGATTTTTTCTATTTTTTCTTTAGTCTCTATTTATTTGTGCTCTGATATTTATTATTTTCCTTTTTCAACTTTAGTCATTGTTCTTTTTCTAGTTTCTTTAGATGTAAGGCTAGATTATTTGAGATATTTCTTGTTTTTTTGAGGTAGGCCTGTATTACTATAAACTTACCTCTTAGAATTGCTTTGGCTGCATTCCAAAGATTCTGAACCATTGTGTCCCAGTCTCATTTGTCTCCATGTATTTTTTTATTCCTTTGATTTCTTCATTGATCCACTGGTTGTTTAATATCATGCTATTTAGCCTCTGCATGTTTGTTTGTTTCCCAGTTTTTGTTGTTTGATTGATACTAGTTTCATACAGTTGTGGTTGGAAAAGATTTTTGATACAATTTCAATCTTAAATTTAATTATTGAGACTTGTTTTGTGGCCTAATATGTGATCTGTCCTGGAGGACCTTTCCTGTACACTTAAAAACAGTGTGTATTCTTGTGATTTTGGATGGAATGTTCTGTATATATCTGTTCAGTCCATCTGGTCTAATTTGTTATTTGAAGGCACTGTTTCCTTATTATCTGTCTGGATATCTATCCATTGATGTAAAATGGTTGTTAAAAGTCCCCTAATATTGTACTGCTGTCACATTTTTCCTTTATCTCTGTAAATATTTGATTTTTATTAGGTGCTCTTATGTTGGGAGCACAACTATTTACAACTGTTACATACTCTTACTGGAGTGACACCTTTATCATTATGTAATGCCCTAGTCTCTTGTTCATTCTTTGTTTTGAAGTCCATTTTAAGTATTGCTATTCCAGATTTTTTTTTTTGCTTCCATTTTTTCATCCCTTCATTTTCAATTTTTCTATGTCCTTAGGTCTGAAATGAGTCTCTTGTAGACAGCATGTAGATAGGTCTTGCTTTTTAATCCATTCAGTTACTCTGTGTCTTTTGATTAGAATATTTAGTCCATTTACACTTAAAGTAATTATTGACAGGTATGTACTTATTGCCATTTTGTTAATTGTTTTCTGGTTGTTTTTGTAGTTCTCTCATCTTTTCTTCTCTTGCTCACTTCCCTTGATTTGATGACTTTCTTTAGTATTATGTTTGGATTCCTTTTGCTTTATTTTTTTGTGTACCTGTTATAGGTTTTTGGTTTGTGGTTACCATGAGGGTCATATGTAGCATCCTATACATACAGCAATCTATATTACTTTGATGGTCACTTAAGTTTGAACACATTCTAATAGCACTTTAAAAAAAATTATTCTCCCATGTTTTGTATATATATCCTAATTTACATCTATTTTGTATATCCCTTGACTAATTTTTGTGTATATGATTTTACTTTTATATTTTGAACTTCATACTAGCTTTGTAAGTGATTGATCTTCCCCTTCAGTGTATGTCTGTTTTTACCAATGAAATTTTTTTCCTTTCATAATTTTCTTTTAGTTATGGCCTTTTCATTTTAAAGAACTCCTTTTTGGAATTTCTTGTTAAACTACTTTAGTGATGGTGAAGTCCTTTTTAACTTTTGTCTGTCTGGAAAACTGTCACTCCCTCAACTCTGAACGATAACCTTGCTGGATAGAGTATTCGTGGTTGTAGGTTTTTTTTTTTTTTTTTTTCCTTTTCAGCACTTTGAATGTATCATGTCACTCCCTTCTGGCCTGCAAAGTGTCTGCTGAAAAGTCAGCAGATAGCCTTCTGGATTTCCCTTGTATGAAACCAGCTGCTTTTCTCTTGCTGGTTTTAAGATTCTCTCTTTAATATTTGCTATTTTAATTATTTTGTGTCTTGGTGTAAATCTCTTTGGGATCATCTTATTTGGGGCTCTCTTTACTTCTTGGACCTATGTGTCTGCTTACTTCCCCAGGTTAGGGAACTTTTCAGCTATTGTTTCTCCAAATGTCTTCTGCCCTTTTCTTTCTTCTCCTGAGACCTCTATTATGTGAATGTTGTTTCACTTGAAGTTGTTGCAGAAGATCTCTTAGCATCTTTTCCTTTTTAAAAATTCCTTCTTTCTTCCATTCAGCTTGTCTTCCACTATCCTGTCTTCCAGCTTGCTGATCTATTCTGCATCCTCTCATCTGCCATCGATTCCCTCTAGTATATTTTTCATTTCAGTCATTGTATTCTTCAGCTCTGACTGGTTTTTATATTTTGTCTTTATTGCAGTCCTCCCTGAGTTCATCCATTCTCTCCAGTCCAATTAGCATCTTCATGACTGTTACTTTGAATTCTGTCTTGTAGACTGCTTATCTGTCTCACTTAGTTCTTTTTGTCTTGTCCTTCATTTGGAACTTATTCCTCTGTCTCCTCATTTTGTCTGCTCCTTGTGTTTCTATGTATTAGTTTGGTCAGCTTTGTCTCTAGGCCTTGAAAGTAGTGGCTTTGTGTGGAAGGCATCCTGTGGGGCCCAGCAATGCAATTTCTGGTCACCATAACCAGGTATTCCAGGGGTACCCTCTGGATGGGCTGTGTGTGCACTGGTGGGTAGGCTGACTGGCAGAGAGGACTGACAGCAGTGTGGGGGCTTACTGGTTGGTGGGATTAGCCCCTAGGGCTGAGAAGCCCAGCCGCAACTGCTGCAGATATGTTGGGGGGTTGGGCTGAACTGCTCCCCCCTCAGAAATTGCTTTGGAGGGGCATGATGAGTTCATGCTGCTTGGTGTGGCAGGGCACTAGTAGCTTTTTAGGGACACTGGTCCTAATTGAGGCTGCCTGCTGGGTGTGGTAGTGTGGGAGCTGTTTTGGAGGGGCACCTGCCAGGGCAGTTGGATTGGGTCCACAGAGGAATGCTGCAGTGGGGTGAACAGTGCTAACAAGATAGATAATGTCAGAACCAGTACCTGCCAGCAACAGGCCAGCTAGGCTAAAGGAAGGCAAGAGAAATGGTGCACACCAGCACTTCCATTACTGGACAAAGTTCCAATAGATGCCTAACCCTCTAGCACATACCCTAAAATTTGTCAGTTATTCTCCTTCCTGTATAGACCAGGCTTTTCTAACAGCTGCTTCCATGCTGTTTCTCAGAGTGAGTGATATAATCTTCTGGCTCTTTAAGAGCAGTCTCAGTTTCCTATAGCTCTCCTGCTCTACCAGAGTGAAGCCCTGTTGGTTTCCAAAGCCAGACCTATGGGGGCTCATCTTCCTGTTACAGGTCCCCAGGGTAGGGGTGCCTGATGTGGGGCTTGATCCCCTTGCACCTCAGGGAGGACCATCACACCTTTAATATCCCTCCTACTTGTGGGTCACCTTGCCAGGGTTTTGGTTCCAAGTGCACCTCTGTTCCTCCTACCCTTCTCAATGTAGCCTTCTCTTTACATCTTTAAAGAGGAAAAGTTGTTCAGCTAGTCTTCAGGTTGTTTTCAGAGTGAGTTGCACTATATGTAGCTGTGGCCTTGATGTGTCAGTGGAGGTGAGCTTCAAGACCTCCTCTACTATCTTCCCAAGATCCTCCTTTGCCCATTTATAAATTGAGTTCTAAGAGTTCTTTATATAAATGGTTTGTCAGGTAGATGATTTACATAAATTTTCTCCCATTCTGTGGCTATCTTTTCACTTTTTGAAATACAAGTTTAAATTTTAAGTGCAGTTTATCTGTTTTCTTTTGTGGCTCATGCTTTTGGTATATCTAAGAATCCTTTGTCCAGTCCTAGGTCATGAAGATGTGTCCCTATATTTTCTTCTGAAGGTTTTATAGATTTTACTCTTACATTTAGGTCTTTGATCCTTTTTGAGTTACTTTTGGTGTATGTGTGAGCTAAGGGTCCAACTTCATTCTTTTGCATAGACATTCTTGAAGTGCTACCAATAGCAAATTTCAAGGCATTCTATACTATGTAAGTTACACTTGGTTTCCTATATTTGGCTATATTAATCTTAGAAAAGCAGGAGTTCACAAATATCATAAAACAACTTTGTTTTACACCCTTATCAGTAAACTTTTATAAATAAACCACTAATGATATGTAAGTACAAGGATGACAAATGCTGGATTTTGTGCCGCATTTGGTTAGCCATTTAATACAATTATGATATGCTTACTTAAAATAAGTCACTTGAAATATCCTGAGAGGTGAAATCAGCTTGGGGACAGAACAGGATGATGGAAACTGGATTTAGAAAGCTTCTCAAAATTATTTCATTATTATTGTTTTAATTTGTTGTGAATGCTCACATTATGATGCAGATTTATATGCAATTTTGGATTATTAAGTTTAGCTAATTTGGACATTGGCTGGTTTTTTAATAAGGGATTAGAACAGTGATAATTCTTTTGTAAGAAGATTTTTGTCCATACTAGTAAGAGAAGTTAATACCTCTTAATATAAAACTAGTAAGAGAAGTTAATACCTCTTAAATATAAATATAAGAAGATTTTTGTCCATACTAGTAAGAGAAGTTAATACCTCTTAATATAAAACTAGTAAGAGAAGTTAATACCTCTTAAATATAAATATAAGAAGATTTTTGTCCATACTAGTAAGAGAAGTTAATACCTCTTAAATATAAAAGCAACTGAAATGAACACTCCAGCTGAACAGGCAGCCTCCATCCAGATGAGAACATCTTTAGTTTCCTGCAAGAAAGAGATCGATCTTTGTCTAATGGGAGGCACCCTGTCTGAAAATATACTAAACAAGTTACTGTCCTTCTAGACCAACCCTGGAATGGTCCCCAGCCATGGATTCAGTCCCAGATCATATTTCTTTGACAACCCTCGAAGGTATGACAGTGATGATGATCTTGCCTGGAACATTGCCCCTCAGGGACTTCAAGGAAGGTAAGACCATAGTCCTAGTTATGTTAGGTATGGTTGGGAGGATGAGGCTGCAACAATGAAATGGATTCAAAGTAGAAGAAAATGCCTATGTAAAAACCCTGGATCTGGCAATAGGGTGAGGCAAATGGGAAGAGGAGGGTAAGGGCCTGGGTATATGGGACTAACTGCAGGCAGTGGAGACCCAGTCCCAGGATTCTGCACTTTGCATACTTCAGCCACAGCCATGGCCTGAGAAACAGGAGTGATTAGCTACTGGGATTTCCCTCCCACCTGCTTTTTTTTAGGAGAGCCAGGGCAGAAGCTTTTATTGAGAGATACAGTAAGAGGACAGAGCACCTGGCTCACACCAGGAGGGGATGTGAGAGCCCATGGTGGTGCGTTGTCTAGGGGTTTTATAGGCAGTTGAGTATTTTTGGGAATGTGAAAAAGCTTAGGGGTGTGGACTTCTTAAGTGGTCCCTGAATATTTAGAATTAACATAAGGAATTTCCTGCTTTGATTTCTTCCTGGGATACCTGTGTCTTGGTCTGGGAGCATATCAAAAGGCTGCCCAAGGTGGGCTGAGGTATTGTCTGTTTGCTAAAGAGTAAGTTAACAATCTTACTTCTTAAACTTCCTGGGTGTTAAAATGCAATCTGATCTTTAAGATGGAATCCTTCCTGTCCTTCACTTATGTTGTTTAGGCCTGAGCCTGCCTGCTATATTAATTGCCCAGGTTACTTATTACTTGATTAGGGGTTGGAGGAAGAAAAGCAGCATCTGGGTAAAGTTAAAGATAAACGGCCTTTTAGCAGGTTAAAGTAAATTTTACAATAGCCTCATTTACTTGACACAAACAAGACATGGGCTATGCTGAGGCATTTTCTTATCTGGGAGCTGTTCAAACATTCCAGGCCAGTTATTCTTGGCTTTTTAGTTTTAACTAATCTTCACTGAAGAATGCTTATATTCCTAGTTTGATATTTTACTTTAGAGAATTAATGTGACTCTGACTTTGCTTAATTGTTTAATACGGAGTTTTGGTAGAGGTATTTTTCCAGAGGCCCTCACCCTACTCTGACTACACCCTTGGTCCCTGTCTCATTCCCCCCTCTACAGATAGAGACCCTAGCTGCTGCTAGGGAAAGGGGGCGACCACCGCTCTGGCTGCTTCATGCTGAGAAGGGGCACAGTAAAGGGTGCAGTTAGGTCTCCATCACTGGTCAGTTGAGAGGGCCTTGGAAGATGGGCACTTCTATTACAGATTCCATTTCTGTTACTATTTGCAGTTTTATGCCTTCTAGGCAAGATAGAACAAATCATGTTATTAGGTTAAGTAGCAACGTCTGGAGTTGGATTTTTCATTCTGGAAGAACTTGACAAGGAGATTAAGAATGCATGGCTAAATATGAGGATTAAGACTAGTAAGATTCTAATTGAATTTATGGGAGAAAACAAACATCTGGAGAATCATAGCCAAATATCTTGGGGAAACTAGAATTCTGGATCTAGTCTATGTCCCAGTGACTAGTATTAGGATAGTATAGATAAGGCTGCATTATTGAAACAATGAAGGCTCTGTTCTGATAGGGACTATGTGTGTTGTGTCTGGAAATGAAATGCAAGTATAATTTTAGCACCAGTTATTTAAAATCAGGCTGTATTGCAGAAGATAAATTTCTTCCGTTTCAGGGGGTTTAGTTTAAAAACCTCCCAATTTTTGAGGATAATGATGAACCCACTAAGCAGAATAGATTTTAACCAAAAAAAAAAAATTTAGAAAACTAGTACCATATTATAGTAGTCTACGGGACTTTTGACTATTTTCCTTCCTTGTGGCAAAATATATTTAGCTGCATAACCTTATTATATTGTATACTTCTTTCAGGGGTCAAGCCTCTCTAATGAGAGACTTAGTATTGAAGCCACACTTGTGTGAAGAAGATAAGGCACTACTCCCTTTTACAGCTTAGGGATCGAATTGCTCCCAGTTCCTCAGAATGCATGCCAGAGGCGTGTCTGGCTTTAAACTTGAAGAGGAAGCTCCCATCCAGAAGAGAGAGAAAGACAGGTGTGTGAAACCTGGTCGGCCCTTCTCTGTGAGGGCATCCCCTCGCCTTGGAGCCTAGGGACAATGGTCAGTCACCTCCTCTTCCAGGCCTACCGGACTTAACCACTCCTTACCAGCGTGGCCTGCACCTTGCCTTGATTCCCCTCTTGCCTTCCCACTCAGCAAGTCGCCTCGGAGCTCTGGATTTAGTGGGACCTTACCAGTGTGCTCCTACTTTATGGCTTTTGGGAGTTTTCCTAGTTTTTTCTACACAAGCTTTAGTCATTCCTTGAGGACCCCCTGCCTGTCCAATAAGTGAAGGGTCTGTGTGATCTCTCGCTGCCAGAGCCTTGGTCAGTCACAAGCCTGTTTCACTTCCTTGGGGCCACAGAAAAGGAAACTAGCCCAAGGATGACTGCCTCTAAGGAAGGCAGATCAATAGAATAGAGCCATTTACATGTTGGTCTCAGGTTTCAGCTTGGTTACTTTCCAGACGTCGTATACATTACACAGGAGAAAGTGGTGTAGGCCTAAGAGGACTGATTTGAATGGGAAGCAGGGGAACTTTTTCCAAGGCCAGAAGATAAAATTTAGAGGCTGCCACGGACATTTATGGGGGAGGGGGGTCTATACTCTTAAACACGAGTTTCTGCCACTGCCTGGAATTATCCTGCTAGTCACCCACTGTAAGAAATCCGATCTGTGTGTGGGACAAGAGGTTGGGGGGTCATCTGCAACTCTCCCATAGGTTCACTCAGCACCATCGGATCGATCAGCCAGTGCTGAGATCCAGGACCACTGTCTACTAGTCGGTCTGCTCTTGGAGTCCGCAGATAAGGATAGGAAAGTAGGAAATCGGCTCAGCCACTCCCCGACATTCCCGTCCATCTGGAGGCAGGGGATCAAGGAGCGGCAGACACCAGGAAACCTTTCACCTGAGATTTAAGACTGGTAGTCGACGCTAATCGTCTTATAGGTGGCTAACAGGTGCCCAGACACTTTTTTGTGAGAGAAAAAGTACAGCATTTAGTCAGGAATAAGAGTGAAGTGTAGGTCTCCTACCTTGTGGTGGTGAGCATGAGGTTTTGTGAAATTAATGAAGTTAGAAGAGAGTTTGGGATGCCCCCTGCTTCACCTAGAGGCCAGGGCGGCCTGAAGAAGCAGGCTGGAAGTCGAGAGACAGAGGGAGACACTCCTCAGAGATACCCAGTTGGACTGTCGGGGTCTGATTCCAGACATGTGGGCCTTTGAGAAGCTGCTGAACTGTAGCCTCAGCCTAGACTCAGGCAGTTGCCCACGGCTTTCCTCAGTCCCTCGCATCCAAGGAGATGCCTCTGAAAGGGAATCCTGGCCTCCACTCAGGTGACTTTCCCAGTTCCCAAGGGAGACGGGGGATCCACTGAGGGAGACATAGGGGAACATGTCACTCAAGACTGAGAACAGCAGCCGGGCTAGTCCCATTTATTTAAGTGGCTGACGAGTGCCCGATGTGTGCCATAGACAGCTTCTTTCTATAAGGACAGTGAAAGAAAAGGCAGGCTTAGATGCCGATACTCACCACTGAGGTTATCCTGGATGAGCCCCCAAAAAATGATGCCGGGGTTCTTGTTTGCAGAATTGAAGAATGAACTTAGCAAACAGTCAAGGTAGGAGAGTCAGGGCAGAGACTTTTATTGAGAGATACAGTGAGAGGACAGAGCTCCTGGCTCATGCCAGGAGGGGACAAGAGAGCCCTCCCTCCCCTTTCTTCAGCCTGCTGATGCTTCAGCCATCCTCCACTGCCCAACCATCAGGACTCCTCTTTCAGGCTGTGGATCTGGTACTTGAACACCAGTAGGGAAGGAAGGAGCAAAAACCGGTGGATCTAGTGCTTTCCGAAACTTTCTGTCTCCTCTTCTCTCTGCTTATCATGCCAGGACCCCTGTACTGTTTCTTGGAGAGGGAGGCTTCAGGATGTTTCTTAGAAGTGAAAGCTTATCTTACACAATCCTTTGTGAATTTGCAGACATATCATTAACATTTTAACAAAACCTTTTTTCCTCTGGGACAGAATGAGAGAAGATATGCTTGCTTTTCTATTCCTTATTACTGATGGTAAAAGTTCTTAGAAACCTTAAAAGAACTCTGAAAGTGTTTTAGGGACAGGAACACTGAGGAAAAGTTATACATTGCTTTCCTAGTGGATCAGGGAGCAGAGAAATCCTGGTAGATAGAATATAAGCAAGCAGACCAACCCACCACCAAGCCAGCAGAAGTGAAGAACATAGTCATTTAGAATGATAAATAAGGTAAGAAGTCCTAACCCTCTTCCCTAAAACTGTTCTGTTTTACAGTTAACCCCACTGCAGTTCCTACTAGCTATGTACATCCCTGTCAGAGCAGCCCTCACCCCTCACCTGCCAGAAGTAACATAAGAGCTTAAGGAGTACTCACTATCCACGTGAAGGAAGATCCTTTTTTCACTGCATAGGGGAAAATAGCAGTAATAATAATGTACATTATTGAGTGCCAACTATATCTTATACTATTCTAAGCACTTTAAAAGTATTAACTCACAAAAGCCTAATAAGGTAATTATACTATTACTTGCATTCTACAGATGATAAAATTGAGGCACCAAAGTTATTTATCCAGACACACAAGTAGTGAGTTATATTCTATATTAGGATTCAGATATAATTTGTTGCTAAAACATTTTGTTATACACAGTGATTGGTTTATGGTTCTAGTAGTATTAGATAAGTAACAGTATATACTTCTGGGGCCTATAGAGTTCAGTAGACTTGTGGGTAGATTTCTTGCCCTTGCATGTGGCACTGTTCTATGGGAAGATGGACTTTGAGAAGCTTTTAAAAACTTTGGTTTTCAATGTCTGTAGTTTATACCAAATCCCAGTTCTATATATCTAAAATAGGCATCAATAGTAAGAGTAATGCTTCAGATCACTCAAACACCTATTTTTCTTTTTAAGTTTCACTCCAGACTACTATGATTGGGGACAACCACCTAACAGCTTCCTGGCACAAGTAGGAACTTTACAGCCAGACTCGATTTTGGATCCTGAGAAAACCAACCATGGGTAGCACCAGTTAACAGTTTTATGGAATACTCCTCAGCTGAAAAGCTTCAGAAGACTAATTTAATGACAAGCTGAACTTCTAGGGCACTGTTCCTTAAGAAATAGGACTTGATATTTTTATCTGTTACAGGTTTCTAAAGGCTCCACAGGACTAAGCAATAATTTGGATTGATAAAACCTTATGTTAGTACTAAATAGTGAGCCTGACTACCTATATCAGTGGGTATAATTTAAACTTAAAAAAAATTCTGTACTTTTATAAAGATGCATTTTGTATAACAATGCTAAAATATACTAGGTTTTTGAGAATGTTTTTGCAATATATGTTGTAGTTTGCACAGATTTTTATGCATAATTCACTTTAAAAGTATATAATATATGGTCTGATGGTTTTTTAAGGCTTTTGGACTAAAGTGCTCTTCAAATCCTTACCTCTTCAGGTCACTCAGATTCTGTGCTCCATGCTGGTAGACTCTAAATATATTTTACATCTAGAAAGCCAGTTGCACCTCCAGTGTTCAAAGTTATAATGTAGCAAGAATATCAAGAGACTACATGTAAGGTAATTGACTCTTCACATAGTTAAGGCCCAGATGGTTGATCCCTCAAAGAATCTCTAAATTTTGCCAAAGTGTGGTACTCCGGTCAACAGGGCACTGATGTATACACTTCAATGATAAGTTGATGTTAAAAATAGTGACTTAACTTATACTATTAAAACTTCTCTGCTATATTCAGAGATTTTACATAGTTTCCAACCCAATGAAATCTAATATCTATTACCTCAGGACTTCAGCAGGACTGCACCTTTCCCACCTCACTAACATTCATTACATTCAAGGAACAAAAAAGAGGCTCTCAAAGGGTATTAATAATAAATACCCCTGGCCCTTGATCCACACTATGTGGTATCCTAACAGTTTTCCTGTAAATTCCAGCCATATTTAAAATAATTTCCTGTATTTGAAAGTAGCTGTGAAAGCAGCCTGCTGGAAACTGCATGTTTTAAAATGGGATTAGCACTGCAACCCTATATAGCATGTGTCCTGTCTTAGCCAGGTACAAAGATGGGTTCCAGACAACTGCTTCTAAGTCGTCTTCAAGTGAAACATGTCATGAAATACTAGTTCCGCAACCATAAATGCCATTCTAAAATCTTTGAGATTATAATATCTATGTATACATATATACAAATAAATAAATATTCATTCTGTGGTTGTAAACTGCCTATTATAGGAGACTGTGGCATATGGTTCTTGACAGGGAAGATAAAAGCTCTGATTTTCTGTAAAACAGAGGTAAGATATTAGAGGAAGTACTGGTACCATAGAGAAAGGGTCATTCTGCTCTGCCTAAGAAATCCCATCTCAGGACAAAAGGAGGGGCAGATGAAAGGAACTTATTAGTTCTATCTACAGGATGAAATCCATTTTAACTGTCTTTCACTTCCGATTTTGGTCTTCAGGAACAACTGGCTCTCTGGTGTTATTTCACAGAGATCAAGTCTACTCCTCCTATCTTGATGGTATTTAAAAATTGGGATCTCAATTTTTAAATGTGTCCCAATTGGATTTTTCACTTGTACAAAACATCTTTACCGTTCATAATTCGATAACAACGTTATTGCCTTTCAGTATATGGAAGGATTTGGATCACGTATCATTTAATATAGTAACTGTCAGGGAAAAATTCTACACTGAAGCGAAATTTGAACAGATAATTCAGGTTGCCTTAAAATACTGTAAGTTGTTATTCTCAATAGCTTTAGGGACCCCCTACTTGTCACACTTTGTTACTAAAACAGGAGAATTTAAAGGCAGACTCAGCATATGTTTAAAACTATGCTTTCAGAAAAGTCCTGCAATTCTTCAATATTAGGTCATTCAAGGGTTGATGTATCTTCTAAAATACAATGATGAAAGTACCACTAAAATCATGCAATTATTATACTCATCCTATAATGCATAAACACTTTATTATTTGTTATTACTGGCAGGAAAATTGAAATACCTAGCATTAACTGAAAAAACCACGATTTATTATGATAAAACTGCTAGTACTTACTTGAATGATTAAAGATGTTCTTAGTGCCCACTTTTCCCTTTAAAAACATGATGCCAGAGCACAACTACTGTAAACACATCTAGACTCTAAAAAAACTGCATCAAACTACCCTCCTCTCATAGTAAATGACCACATATACCCTGTGAAATGCTGTACAGGTATGGTGTGGAAAGGAAAACAGATTCCCTTTAGCTTCCTAATTTACTTGCACTGCTGACTATGCTAACAAAGCTACCTCATATGTGAAACACTAAAGGCTGAGAGAAGGCAAAGAATGGTGATTACAGGTTGTAAAATACTCAAATGTCTTCATGTTTTATGGCAACATGATGAAATTAAAACCCGGATCATTTGAAAGTTAAAAATGGGGAAGAGGCAATTATCAATGAAAAATCTGTACTGTCATTCATGATTGAACACTATAAGGCTGCAGGAGAATGTTTCTGTAGTTATTGAAATAATGGGTGTCCACTTCTGCAGTTACTTGTCTAAAAATTCCAGCTGATCTGTGTAGGTATCTTTAGTTGGCTCTTTTTCCTTTTTATATAATTGAGCCATTTAACTGTGCCCAAGATGAAAATACCCAGTGTGTGTTACATGCAGAACTGGGGACTGCAAGTTTTGATTCTTACAGCATTTACATCAGTCACATTTAGTCATGCCAGTTGTCTCTTGAGTAGTATATCAGGTACATTAGTAACTATCCTGGCCACCATATTTAGCTGCTTAGATCAGGCACACGTGCATTGCATCCCCAGATGTCCTTTTACCCCAATCCAGAAGAACCGTTCTTTGTTGGCCTGAACACCTAAGCCCTATTACGAGGAAAGGAATAAGCGTCAGTAAACCCTAGAGTGTGCTAAGTGCTTTGATATCTGTATTTACATAATGGATATGACTATAATATTGCTTCTGCTTTTTTCACACAGGTGAATGTATATTAGAACTAAATGGGTCTAATTGGAACTATAAAGATTTCCAACTAAAGAAACAAAAAATACCTTGCTTTCATTTGAGTACTGCATGATAAAATATAGACTAGTATAGGTCTGATCAGACACACAGCTAATATACATTTCCATTTTTCATCCATGGAAGCAATGAACTGTTTTAATTAAAACCATTTATTGTGCATAATGCAACTTAAGACTTCTCAATACGGAAAATCCAGATAGAGGAGCTGTTAGAAAGATCAGGCTAAAATTAGTGGACTCCTTATCAAAGACTACATGGAATCCTCATCAAAGACTATAAACTGAGTAGAGGAAATATTTATTTAAAAAAGGACAGTGAGGATAAGGAAATGGAATTCAGTCCATGTCCACTGAGTGCCTATCATATGTTAGACACCGGGCTAGGTACTTGTCATGCATCTCTGGGGCCACCCTATAAACTTAGCACCACCCTTAAACCTTAATCCTACTCTTTGCCCTAGCAGGGGTATATGAAGAGTCCCGGCACCAAAGGGTCAAAGTACTTTCAAGTCTGTTAATGATGTCCCTGTGCCCCCCAACCTAGATCTCTTGTGCTGATTCCCCATGCCAGTCATCCAGTTCCTCTGCACCTGGGTACTGATGGTGGGGTCATTTGGTGTGGGGTTCTGAGATTGGCTGTATGTGTCATCAAGTAGGGGTTCAAAATCCTCGGATCCAAATCCAGTGACTCTACAGTTCCTAATGGTAACTACCTGGTTCCTACAAAGCTGTATTCCTTACCTCTGTTCCTTGACTGTGGCTGGGACTCAGCCTCTATTTATTTTCCCAGAAACTTTCCAGCATTTATTTAGCTTCCAAACCTGGTCTACTTTTGGACCTTGGCTGCCCTACCACTGAGAACACTGGACTCCATCTCCAGAATGGATTTTCTGCCTCTGAACTTCAGCCTAGTCAAAACCGAAGATCAGATGCCTGCTCTCTCCAGCTAGGTCACAGATCTAGCTTGTCTTTGGCCTCTATGAGCCTCAGAATCCCTCCCTTTCTCTCCTGATCCCTATTATTATGACTTTTCTTGCCCTTGAACCCCAACTTCCCGTGAACCTTGCCAACCTACAATAGTCCCTCCAGTCTCTCTGTAGTCCCAAAGCATGGTACTGCTTGAAGGCATTAACTGATGTGTGAAAAGGGTACATTTAGAATAAACAATGCTTTAACCAAGGCTATTCAGTTTGGATACTGAGTATCCCCGGTGCTATCCTCTTGGTGAATTCACTAACCCAGAGTCTGGGCTTCAGGTTTGCAGACTTAAAACTTGTCAAAGAGAACAGAACACTTACCTGTTTGGAGGTATATTCTGTGGAAGAAATCCACATGGAAAGTTAAATCATTTATCAGAATGTTGCAAGTTGAATGCTGACTCTGTTCTGACCGAAGGGTGTTAGGTGGATGTAACTGCTCTTAATCCATCTATGACAACTTAATGGCACTGTCAAGGAGACACTAAAATTCATTTGCATTGAGGGCATCTTTTCATAGACAAGTTTCTATGTTAGCTACTCTTCTTCAATTGAAAGATTCTTTCTCTGGATGCAGTCTCACTATAAACCAGATATAACCTAGTTAGGTCAGGACTTCCTAAGTTACACAATGGCAGGGATATTTATTTTGTTCACTGCTGTATTCCGAACTCCTCAAATAGTGAATGAACTGTCAAATCCTTTTCCTTTGGTAGATATTTTTTAAGTTAACTTCTTTCACTTGTACTTTTATACATTGCATATAGATTTTACAAGTTTAATACTCATTTAAGGGCCCCTACCTGTATTCTTTTTTAATTTTTTAATTTTGGTATCATTAATCTACAATTACATGAGGAACATTATCTTACTAGACTCCCCACATCAACAAGTACCCCCCACATACCCCATTAGTCACTGTCCATTAGCATAGTAAGATGCTATAGAATCACTACTTGTCTTCTCTGTGTTGTACAACCCTTCCCATGCCCCCACCCCACATTATGTCTGCTAATAGTAATGCCCCTTCTGCTAATAGTAATGCCCCTTTCTTTCCCTCCCCTTATCCCTCCTTTCCCACCCATCCTCCCCAGTCCCTTTCTCTTTGGTAACTGTTAGTCCATTCTTGGGTTTTGTGAGTCTGCAGCCATTCTGTTCCTTCAGTTTTTTTCTTTGTTCTTATACTCCACAGATGAGTGAAATCATTTGATACTTGTCTTTTTCCACCTGGCTTATTTCATTGAGCATAATATTCTGTAGCCCCATCCACGTTGTTGCAAATAGTAGGATTTGTTTTCTTCTTATGGCTGAATAATATTCCATTGTGTATATGTACCACATCTTTATCCGTTCATCTACTGATAGACACTTGGGTTGTTTCCATTTCTAAGCTATTGTAAATAGTACTGTGATAAACATAGGGGTGCATATGTCTTTTTCAAACTGGGCTGCTGCATTCTTAGGGTAAATCCCTAGGAGTGGAATTCCTGGGTCAAATGGTATTTCTATTTTTAATTTTTTGAGGAACCTCCACACTGCTTTCCACAATGGTGGAACTAATTTACATTCCCACCAGCAGTGTAGGAGGGTTCCCCTTTCTCCACAACCTCGCCAACATTTGTTGTTGTCTTTTGGATGGTGGCGATCCTTACTGGTGTGAGGTGATATCTCATTGTGGTTTTAATTTGCATTTCTCTGATGATTAGTGATGTGGAGCATCTTTTCATGTGCCTGTTGGCCATCTGAATTTCTTCTTTGGAGAAGTGTCTGTTCAGATTCTCTGCCCATTTTTTAATTGGATTATTTGCTTTTTGTTGAGGTGAGTGAGCTCTCTCTATTTTGGATGTCAACCCTTTATCAGATCTGTCATTTATGAATATATTCTCCCATACTGTAGGATGCCTTTTTGTTCTCTTGGTGGTGTCCTTTGCTGTATAGAAACTTTTCAGCTTGATATAGTCCCACTTTTTCAGTTTTGCTTTTGTTTCCCTTGCCCAGGGAGATATGTTCATGAAGAAGTCACTCATGTTTATGTCCATGAGATTTTTGCCTATGTTTTCCTCCAAGAGTTTTATGGTTTCATGACTTATATTCAGGTCTTTGATCCATTTCAAATTTACTTTCGTGTATGGGGTTAGACAGTGATACAGTTTCATTCTCTTGTATGTAGCTGTCCAGTTTTGCCAACACCAGCTGTTGAAGAGGCTGTCATTTCCCCATTGTATGTCCATGGCTCCTTTATCATATATTAATTGACTATATATGTTTGGGTTAATATCTGGGCTCTATTCTGTTCTACTGGTCTTTGGGTCTGTTCTTGTGCCAGTACCAAATTGTCTTGATTACTGTGGCTTTGTAGTAGAGCTTGAAGTTGGGAAGTGAGATCCCCCCACCCCTGCTTTATTCTTCCTTCTCAGGATTGCTTTGGCTATTTGGGGTCTCCTGTGGTGGTTCCATATTAATTTTAAAACTATTTGTTCCAGTTCGTTGAAGAATGCTTATTGGTATTTTGATAGGGATTGCATTCAATCTGTAGATTGCTTTAGGCAGGATGGCATTTTTTTTTTTTAGTTTTTTGAGGAACCTCCATACTGTGTTCCTACCTGCATTCTTATGAATCTTGACAAATATCTAAACTTTTGGATAAAGAATTCATAATGGAATAAGGAAATCATTTTATATGAAGATTTCAAATCACTCTTAGAGGCTATGTCTTAAAATAGAAGCACTGAGATAAAGTTCTGTCTGCACAGGCACTACATATCCTCTGCTCTGCCCTCACCTGCTGGGATACTAGCAAATAGAAATATTGAAGTAATTAACACAACAGATAGCAAAAGGTATTTATCAGGTAAAATATCAAATTAAAATAGTGACACATCAAGTGGTTAAAAGTATAACCCTTGAGAGAAAACACTTGAGTTGGGCAGAATGTTAGCATGACCCATCTGTTAAAGGATGTTTTTTAAGCTCATAGAGAATAATCATGAACAGCTAACAAGAATTATTTTTTAAAAAGTGGGGGAGAGTAAGAGATCGTTAACATACCAGATATTACAACATGGACCCTGAGTACTTAAAACAATCTGGTACTGGTGTGTAAGTAAATAGGTCCATAAAATAGAGAACCCAGATATAGAACTAAATTCAAATGGGATTTTAGATATAAACATAGCAACTCAAACTAGTGAAGAAAAAATGAAGTGTGCAATAAATGGTGTTGGAATAACTGGGTAATCATCCAGAAAGAAATTAGGTTGGATCCATAGCTCATACCTACTGCCAGAACACACCAAAGGAATCAAAATTTAGATCTAAAAAATAAAAAAAACACAAAATTCTAGAAGAAAACATAGGTGAATTATTGCTGTGGAATGAACAAGGCATTCTAACTGTGGCTCAAAATCCAGAAATCATTAAAAAATTCATAAATAAGATTGCATAAAAAATAAAATTGCATGGCAATTTTAAAAGAGAAAACAAATTGGAAAAAAAAGTTTACAGCTCTTTACAGTCAAAGGATTAATATCTGTAACAAAGCACTCCTAGAAGTTGTTAAGGAAAAGATGTAGAAAAATGGGCAAAAGATGGGAACACAAAGGACATACAGATAGTTTTTAAACATATTAAAGGTAGTCAACCTTACTTGTAATAAAAATACAAACTAAAACACACTGATACATAATTTTGCATCTATCAGAATGGCAAAAAACCAACTCTTAAATAACACCTTTGTTGGTAAGATTGTGGGTAAGCAGGCATAGTCTTAACTACAGGTGGGTATTTGAATTGGAAACTACCCCATGGAGGGCAGTATTCTGGTATCTTTCAAAATTACAAATACACATGGTCTGTAACCAAATTTTGGGGAATTTATTTTAGAAGTACAATTTATATATGTGTGAAATGATATACACACAAGGTCTGGAAATAATTCAAATGTCCATTAGTAGGGGATTAATTAAATGATTGCACATTCATGTAATGGACTACCAAGCAGTTACTTTAAAAAAAAAATATGGGAAGAAAGACTTTTAAGAACAAAAGCAAAGAGCGTGTATATGATGACACCCTTGGGTAAAAATGAAACAAAAAAAAGACTTTACATTTGTTATTTGTGTGTATATGCCTAAAAAGTATGGGTGGGAAAATGAGAAACCAAGAACAGAGATTAAATGCAGTGGGGGTGGGAGGAGGATGTGCAGTATGGGAAGATGGGTCAAGGCTAGAAAGAAGACATTCCATTGTATAGCTTTTTGTATTTTTTTGGTTTTTGAACCATGTGAATGTATTACCTATTCAAAAGATTAAATAAAATAAGTATATTTAAAAAGCCTTATGATTCAATACAAATCAAAAGATGCTAAAAAGTCCCCAATTTTTAGGTGAATGGTAACAAGCCAACTTATGAAATAACACAAACGCACCACATTCTGAGCAGAGACTCTGGAGTCAGACTATCTGGTTTCAAATTCCAGTTCCCTCAACATAGAATTTTAACTGGACAAATTACTTAGCCTCTCTTATCCTCAGATTTCTTATTTATAAAACAGAGAAGTAATTGTATCTACTTACTAGTGCTGTCAGGAAGACTAAATAATCCATGCAAAGCCCTAACACCAGGCTGTCAATGCTTTCCACTATAAGAAACAATCTCAGACTATTTATATATTTTCCCCTTCCTCTACAAATGGTAATCATATTCTTGTCTCATAAAAGGAAATATTTGAAATGGGAGGGAGTGAACAAGAGATTGCAGAAACATTCTTTAATTCACATTTTCTACAGTTTGGTGGGTACAATGGTAAATTATTTGGAATTATGTTCAAAATCAAAGTTGTACCTGTAGATGTAACAATAGAGTACTAATATGTATGTGTGTACGTTCTGTGTTTTGTTTTACCAAATAATTCCCATGATACCATGCGCTCAGTCTTTGTATTTTGATGAATAGCTATGGTTTCTGCAGGTACTTCAGTTTGCAAACATCTGAGAGGTTTACTGTGAACTGTTCCCAAATTTCCAGTGGAAGGTAATGCTGATGAAAATCAAAATAGCTGTCCTTTCTTATACGCAATGGCACCTAGGTAAAGTTGGAAAACATGGCACAGTGTTTCATATCCATATGAGATTACAAGTATTGAGTAATTCACAATGTTAAAATGTCAAAACAAAACATTTATCAGATTTCAAAATTGTGAAAACTTCTACTGTTCTGTCTTACCCTCCTAATCCAAGAATCAACACAGGAGAAACATCCAAATTTTACCAATTTTAATAAACAGTATTTTAAACACATAGTTTCCACTTAAGAAAAAAAATAAGTTCATGGCATTGAAGGAAGGAATATGTCCCTTTTCATTACTTCATCAGCTGATACAATCACTTCTGTCAGTAATATTATCAAGTGCTGGATTTTTAAACGAGGTGATGAGATAAAGACAAAATGCCAAGAGGAATTACCAGCAAGCATTTTCACAATGCTATCAGTATTCTAGTATCACTTCACAACAAAAGGCAAGTGAACTGGAAAAACAGTGTATCACAAGAACCATAAAACACCACCAGGCTCACAAAACAATGATTCCTACAGCTTACACAATCATTTAAGAAATAACACACAGAAAAATGTAGCTGCCCTGCCCCCCCACCACACAATCCAACTTATGTCAAAATAAAGTTAATCAAATAAACTTCAGCTTAAGAATACTTGGATTTATTTTCCTGGTAGTGAAAAAATCCGTTAAAACATTGAAAAGAACTTTTTACCTACCTAGACTTTTTAATTTCCTACATCTCACTATAATACACAGTTTTTCCTAAGCTTGAAACAAAACACAGTACAAGTGGTAAATAGAAATGACCAAGGGTTCTTCTCCTGTATAGAGGTTAAATAATAGCATTTATTCTAGCAGTGGGAGCTAACAGTGAAGTAACTCTACCAAAGATTTTTAAACTTACAGTAGTAATAGACAAAGTGTAAAACGTTCCCATTTTCTTAAATTCTGAACACAAAATAATTCTTATTAATTTACCAGCAAGATTACTTACTCACTTTTTAGATAGATTTACCTTAAGGTCCCCCTCTCCCCTTACAATACTTACATTCCTAAAAATGAAAAAGTGGAGGAGGCTCCAATCAAGCCACCCTGTTTAATCTGACTTAACAAAAACAACAACAAAAAACCCTGTGTCTATAAAGGTTAGAATTTGGGTAAGAAAATTATTAGCTAGTAAAACTTTACTGCCTCCAACCATATCCCTCTAAGGGATGGCTAGCTATTTTTAAAAGAGGGGTTACCAACCAAATACAATTCAAAACACACCATTTAAATCACCAATGAACACATTTCAGACTTTGGCAAGATAAGATATGGGTTTAAGAGCACTTAATTTATTTACCTCATAAAAGACTGAAGACTCTAAGAATAAACTCTGTATTTTGTACATTACTTCACACATGCAACCTTCCAAATTAGTTGTATAATATCTACTAACAGCTCTTAAAAGAATCAATATTTTAAACACTCAGGATGTTTAAATCCCAGGTTTAAAAAATGACAGTTTAGGAATTAGGAGTGTTGTTGGTATAATTCACACAAAGTACAACTACAATGAACTGAAAAAAAGTTAGGAGAGGGGAAGTTTAAAGAAGGCTTGAACAGATCTACCTACTTAAACATCCTACCCAAGAAAATCAGATTGATAATATTGCATAGACTGTATTCTAAAATAAAATCCTTTCAAAATACTTACTTTAAAATAGTAAATTCTATGTATATAATGTTTTAAACTGGCATTTTAAATACATATAAGCCCACTCAAGTTTTTTCAAGAAGAAACTGTCAAATATTTAAGCAATTTTTTTGTTTCTTTAAATGAGAACTTATAAAATTGGAGTGGGGCAAAGAAATGCAAAATCAAAACAAACTGACTTACAGGTTCTAAGAGTCCTCTTGAGCCAGCGCACTACACACACACAACACCTGGCTGGGGCGCATGGGGGACAGTACTTACTTTTACAGAAGCAGTCTTTTAGACCAAAACAAAACAGCAACTAAAATCCTTAAATGAAAATCAGTGAAACTGAAGTTGAAGCCCTGGGGACTCTCAAGTAACTTCTGTAACTATACACTGAAAGGCCACTCGTCATGCTGACACTTTCATATTATAGAAGGTGACACACAGAGCCAGGCAAGGCTAAAAATACATTTAAAAGCCATAATAAACTTTTATCAGAGATAATCAGCTCTAAGCAACATTTGTTCTTTCGCTCTCCTGTTCCACAGCAGACTTAACAGCTTTATTAGGATGGTCATTTAAGTTTGACAACTGGAAATAAAAGATGACAACAAAACCAATTCTAAACAAATAAAATAGAATATTCAACAGATGGAAACATGAAATTAAACAGATTAGTTTTAACTTACATGTTTTAAAAGTACATACTTCATTTATAAATATCTAATGATATTCTAGTAAGAATCATAAATATTCAAGTGTGCATTTTCTCTAAGAGTTCAGAATTCTTCAAGCCTGAAGATTAGTCTCCTGCTAAATGTCCAAGACTAAAAGGCCCCACACAGTCTCTTAATGTCTCTAATCAGACATATAAAAGCCTTCATTACCTACTGTGTTGTAGTAAGACTTTAAAATTCTGTAACTCTCTTATACTTGTAGAAAGCCTGTTGGAGGAAAAAAAAAAGGCATATTAGTACAGCTAATATGTGTACATATGTCAAATTATTGATATTGTAACATAGGCTATAACTTGAAAGAAAAATCTAAAATAAAAGAATGTTAAAACACTGAACGTTGAAGCTTCCATTTTAGATGAGTATGCTGTAATTATGTATCAAAGACTGACAAAACACAGAGCTATGGTTCTTCAGTCTTGATTTAAAA